TACTTCAGAAATTACAAGGATGTGCGAAAATTGATTGATGAATGCATTGCTTCAAAAGAATCGTTTTATTATCGCGGAATCCATTTATTGCCACAAAGATGGGAAAATGTATAGCTAGCGAGGGCAAATACTTTGATTCGTATATTTTTTGCTTTTGATATCGAGATAAATGAATTTTTAAAGCAAAAAAATCGTAAAAACTAAGTTTAGTACCTTATATATATGTGCGTGCGTGCGTGCGTGCGTGTGTGTGTGCGTGTGTGTGTGCGTGCGTGTGTGCGTGCGTGTGTGTGTGTGTGTGTGTGTGTGTGTGTGTGTGTGTGTATATATAAAAGGGTATTTCTAATATGAAATAATCCATGCTTCTATACTACAGTGAAAATCGTTGCTAAAGTATAAATGTTATTGTATAATAATAAAAAAGACAACCAGAATGAACGTCGAGTGCCTATTCCTGCGATGCTTGATTCCAATTATCTGAAGACGAGTTCTGTGTATAATCTATCGTATGCTTATTTTTCGCGCACGTTGGCTGTGTTTATTTGTATTTTAGAAACATTAAATAAAGTTTTTTAATTGCAATACTGATATACTTTGCGTTTCTCGAGGCATCTCATATTATAGGAGCACAATTTATTGACTTTACGATTTGCTCACTTTTTATATTACTTTAATTTTGAAAAAAAATGGAATTTGAATTAAATTTTATATAACGTTATTTTTTAAAGCTTATTAAATTCCCTTCAAAATAATCTATTATTTTTTTAAGTTCTGGACTTCTAGCATTTACTCAAACACTGAACTCGGTATATTATAATAGAAACCTTTCCTCTATATGAATAAATGAGTACGAGAAACAGGATTGTAAATCAAGACGATTCTTGTTCTCAGTCATACTATAAAATTTATGAGGAGAAAATATATTACGTTATATAACCTCTTCTCTTTAATTTCATACGACTTGAACCAACTTGAACAGTCCTTTTCATTTTCTCGATATAAATCGTACTTCGTATACGTTCCAACATAGGCCGATCTTCACGCCTTATGCGAAATAGATCGCTTTTCATTCATTTTTTGACATAAATCTTTCTTCACGTTTTTCTTAATATAGGACCTTCTACAGCTCAGACATCGATACACTTAATTTTTTTTTGTCATAATAAAAATTATTTCCCACAGACTTCTTCCAATTTTAACATTAACATTTTCTCTTTAAAATAACAAAAAAAAAACAAACTAAATCTGGACTAATAAGAGTCAGCGCGAGCAGAGGTGCGTAATAAAATTTTACAAATAAATTTGTTAATTTACACGAAGTATTGATGTCATCTTTTTAAATCTTGAGAAATCTTGAACGCGCGCGCGTTTTGATTCTCTTTGGAATCTTCATTAGCAATCTTCTTAATCCATAATAGATTTTCGCGAACGGTCAAGGTAGAATCACTCTCAGATTACCAAAACTGTAGTGTAATCTGTTTAAATTCATAAAATTGAAATACAATATTTAAAATTAACCAATAAAGTAACGAGTAACTCACCCACACAATCGCCAAATCTTCTCATGAAA